ACGCGTGACAATCAAAGTTTGTTCCGATAGGTTATCCGAGCCGATTGTGGACAGAGACGCCGCCGGTTCCGTGGACCCAGATCCGATGGGTGTTGGGGTCATGACAAATGTGATTCCACGATAGGACAGGTGATACGAACCATCTGGGTCTACGGGAACTAGAACAGAAAGATAGCGATCAACATCATCATTGTACAGTGTAATACAGTGAAGCGAACTTCACTGATCGCTGCCAAACGCATATTACATACCAGGTGAGTGAGAATAAGTAAAAGAGACGGATTGGGCTTATTTTTAGGAAAGGGAAAAGAAGGCGAACCTTTATGGTCAACACAGTCCAACTGTGCATACATACTACTTCAAGCATTCTGGTCTGATAAGAAGTGACAGCAAGATCGCCATTGTTGTCGTTTCGNTTGTCGTTTCGCAGCCATGATCTTCAGTGTCTACAACCATGCGGTTACGGAGTCTTTTAGATCCCAACCAGGAAGACAAGAGACACCTATTCTACCTAATCACTCTGCATTTCTTCACGCCTCGTCTACACGTCCTCTGCTGGTCTCCACGTGGCTTTCCCCAGTCTGCCGCGGCTACTGAAAATAAGGCAGCGATGCAGCGAAGCAAAACATCGATAAACCATGATATGAAACAGATGCTTCCAGTTTCAATGCGAAAACAGTGATTACTGCTTGGGGTCAGTGAGCAAACGAATATGCAGTACTAAAGAGAAGTGTACAGCAGGAGAGGATATTCAACGGCTCCACAAAACAAGTCCTGGAAAGCGGACCAGTTGCAATGATAGAGCAGTATATCGAACTGAAATCGCACAACACAGAAGGAATTGGCAGCTGGATCAACCCAATCACGTTGTTGTTGCTGTTTTCTAAGGTGCAAATGGCAAACTAGCTATAGTCGCGCATCTTCATTCAGTCACATCGGCGAAGTCCAGGTTAGAAAACCAGCAGTCTGAGAGAATGCTGCATGAGGACAGAGTCATTTCACTAATCGTACCGAATACAAAGTGGAACAGAAAACGGGATATATATATATATATATATATATATATAACACCGGTTTGTAGACAAGCATGGTGCCAACGTCACAACAATAATAACAATAACAAAAATGGGGGCAGGTGGATTGGGATGCAGAACAAAAGTGGAAAGAGGGTGAAACAATTAAACACGGGAAAATGGTAAATAAATGGGATAACAAATTTTTTGTTTCGTTGTACACCTTTTGATATTTTTTGTGTTGTCTGTTTTTCTTTACGGGGCACGGGATTTCGACAGGCAGACAGTACAGCATTCACGCCACTGACTTCTATTCCGGCCATATCTCTCAGCGTCTCTAACCAGCGACAATCCTCATCCCTTAGGCCCCAACCTGGAAGGCGGGATGCACCAACCGAAGCTACTTCATACCTGTACGCCATATCATGGTCTGACCGCCACGCCGCTTCTTCTAGCCTTGCCCGGCATGTGCAAAGAGAGCACGGAAAGGTGGTCTATGGGCAGTAATACGCAATACGTGACCAAGCCATCGGAGGCGGTGTAGAGCGAATACTTCTGTTAGCGAACGACTATCCACACCCAGCACACGACAACGAACCTCGTCATTACTCACCCGGTGTTCCCACTAGACACGTGCAGTGTTTCGGAGACATCGGTGGTCGAATAAAAAAGTCGATTAGCATCCTCAAGGCGGAGGGGCCAGATCTCACAATCGTAAAGGAGAACGCTACGAACCTCGGCGATGTACACCCTACCCTTGCGGGACAGTCGGATGTCATGTCATACTTGGATCGCCAAGCGGTTTAAAGCGTTTTGGACTACCTGTGTATTGTTGCCAAGCAAGGCGATGTCATCGGCATGTTTTAAGTCAAGGACTCTATTTCCTGGGAGGAATTCGACTCTACCGTTTACCGGACCGGCCAAAGCATTCAGTAGAACACCCTCTATGACGAAGTTGAAAGGAATGGGGATATAGGACAGCCATGACAGGGAGCCGTAAGCTTGAATAGGACCCCGGTCATCCGTTTGTGGGGATCACAATAGAAAAATAAGAAACCATCTGACATATTGTCGTCATAATGGAACCTCTTCCGGTGCGGCCAGTCCAGCCGAAAACCACTGTCCGATGAAGATAAACGATTAAAAAGAAATGGACAGGTCATAGGCAATTGAATACGAAATAAACCGAGTGGGGTGGCAAATTATCCATCCCAGGCATTTACCCGCGATTGTGACTGTTTGTATGCAAAAATCTATTCGGTGAATTTCAGTGGAAAAGGAGAATGAAAACTACAGGCACTCACGGAGCGGTTTANTGGAGCCGAAAATTCGCAGCACTTCATGCAGAGTCGGTGTGACCGACGGACTGTTGAAATACTGAGACCTGTGAAATTGCAGGATTAGACACACTGAATGCACACACAAAGAATACGTACCAGTAGCGCAAGGTTATTCGGGACAAATCGTATACTTCGATCAGCTAGAAAGTGAGGCAGTGATTAAATTGTAGATAAACGAGAGAGAAAACGAAAAAAATTGCACAAACATACACGCAATCGTTGTAGCACTGGATCGAAATGGAACCGAACTCCGTCGGCCGGGAGAACCACCGCCAGGTTGGAAGCAAATGGAGACTAAAGATTGAAGGAGTAATGATCACAGACTGACTGACACAGAGCTTACCTTTGCATTGTGCCAGAAATCCACAGATTTGATGACGCTGTCTTGTTTTCGCAAGATATCCATCATTTGCTGCAAAGGCATACCCAGCAAAAGCTCCCAGTTTTTATGGCGGATAGCCAGTTCCGGGACGACTTCCACATCCAACATGATGAAAAAATGAGGAGTAGCAGTCTCTGGAGTAATAAAGAAGGGAAAAGCGTGTTCAGTTCAGTCCACTTTTTTACAACCATTAATCATGCACTTTAGTGCGCCGGTTGCTGTCTTTTGGCCGCTCATTTAGATAAAAGAGCACAATGAACATTGGAGTGTTGACATCAAATTCAAGCGGAAGATAGATAATTCATATAGACTGATGTTACAAGACCGGTCAACTGCCCCTCATCGTGTATATTTGCTGGAGTGACCCCTCCATGGGCGAATGTGGATATAAGAAGGAAGCCAGGTGCTCAAGCAACTGGCTTTGTGAAACTGAGCTTTGTCTGGGCTCTACCCAATGACCTTTCGGGCATGATTGGATCTGCGTCTGTGCGGAGTCATCCTCTAAAGCTGGCAGGGTCATGGAGGCAAGCAAGCTATCACACCACGTCAAGGTGCAGTCTCGTCGTGATGGACTCCATAAAATCGAACAGGTAAACGATCTCCCTGGGGGTGAACTAAATTGCACAGCTTTTCTTTATGCAAGCATTCCATATCAACAGTTTGGAGACCACCCATGTCGCTTTCCAATAGTTAATCTAAGGTGCAATTGAACAGGAATGATGAAATAAGGCGCCCTTGACAGACGCCCCAATTAGTTGGCAACAGAATCTCGGTCGGTCTTCCTCCGTGTGGAGTGTTTGTTCGGTTTTATAGCAGATTATCTCACTAACCGAGATTCGCAGACTTGCCGTCGGGTATCGGTTGGAATAACACTGGATATTTCGTGGTGCAGCGGCTATCGCCATTTATCTGGCGATTGTTGCCCGTCAGTACCCTCCCCCCTGCCACACGCACACATCCGCTTCAGTTCAGATTAGGTACTAAACAAAGAGAAAGGTCAATGATTTGCCAGCTCGCAGAATAGTACCATGACAAAGCAGTAATGTTATTCACAACCGGAGTCTTTAAACAACAAAAGATTAGTCAGTAACCGCCCCAGTAACTATGCCATCTACAAGCAGGATAGCGAAGGTAGCAGGCAGAGAAGAGTGGTGTATTGTCGTTAGTTCAAACTAATGTCAATCACAAGAATGTACAAGCCACTCTAGTGCTATTACGTAGGAGGCCACGAGGTATACTGTGCGTACAGAGTACTGCGGGCTACTTTGGATGAGGATACGGAACTGCTTGAAGTTACACAAAAGTTTTCAAATCACGGAATATGCCCATTGATTGAGAACACAGTGTAGGCGAACATATTTTTTCGGTGAATTCCTTTTCAAGCCTGTACAATCACATTTATATGAAACAATTTCAATACGGTCAAACAGAAAAGTGGATGAGTCATGTGTTTGGCAATGAGCCCAAGAGAACTCAAAATTTGTGCGCAGTTTGGATCACATAACCCAAATGGTTACGTCATGGTCGTGTGAATAAGTGATTTTCTTTTCCCCTGGCCAGGGGAGTTTGAGAGCTTGAATCGGTTTAAGTTGTGCGCACAGCTCAGGCTTCATGAGTTGGATGCTAATGACCTCTGCGGTTGCTAACGTCCGTACAATTTTTGAGTTCTCTTGGGCTCATTGCCGAACACATGACTCATCCACTTTTATGTTTGACCGTATTGGAATTTTTTCATGTAAATGTGATTATAAAGGCTTGAAAAGGAATTCACCGAAAACATGTTCGCCTACACTGTGTTCTTAATCAAGAGTGTCCATGAAAGTTTCAGAATGTCCTTACATTTGGGAACCTCAATCTCCCACGACCACTCAACCGTGCGGACGCACGTGAAACTAGCGGTTATACAGGGAAAGCTTTATTCGGATGGATACACTCCAACGAGCCGGCGCACGACGTTATGCACGCCACAAGATTCACAGATTCGTAGAAGCCCTCCGTTTCAGAACTAATGAAAATAAGGTACGCTTCGGATGTAAGTGAAATAAAACTAGAAGAACCACTGGGTAAAAATGATCATCTGACGATCATATCCCGGATGACGGTAAAGCACAAAAAGCCGGAAGTTTCATTATTACAATGTTATAGTCATTTAAATGAGGTAGTAAAGTAGGTAATCTGGATACCGACAATGGAAGAGCGATGGTATGAGATAAACGTGTGTTTATGTAAACTAATAAAAGAGTTTGCGCCTCTACACCACAGGAGTGAACAACACAGATCAGTGTGTTATAAGTCTAGGTTAGATAAAACACCAAAAATACGCAGATACTGTGCCAATTATGGAACAGATCAGATATGGTGTCAATGCAAGAAACCATACGATAGGGCACAGGACCTATAACAAGAGGGAAAATATACTAACCAATGGAACTTGGTACAGCAGATAAAGCATAATCCCTAAATTTTTTATACCTATGTGTAAGCCAACATATATACATATATATACCGTCACGACGAGACTGCACCTTGAAGTGACGGCTTTTGCTTGTCAACTCCAAGCTTAACGCAGAACCACAGTCCTGATAAAAACCGATGGAGACAGCCCATCTGGGGCGGAGGCCTTAAACCTTTTGAGATAACTTATTTCCCGGGAAACCTCCATTACAGATGAAGGACCGGCATCGATTGAGAGTATTTGCCCAGTCAAAGTTAGGGGTGATAGGTCAGATGTCGACAAGAGCCAGTTGAACTCAGCGTCGAAATGTTCAGTCCAACAATCAAAGTGGCGTTGCTCATTACGGATCATTATGTCATCGGATTCCTTAATTACCTTACTTACGCCTATTTTTCTGGGGCCTGTATTCTTAATTAGACGGAAAATATTGCGACTATAGACAATAACCGCAGCCTTCTCCATCTCCGTACACCTTTCTAATCACCACTTCTCGCGGTCATTCCTCAGACTCTTGATGACTTACTTTACTTTACTGCCGCCGGGTCCTTGAAAAGGATAAGCCGGTTCCATGAATGTCTCTGACGGCCGCTATCCATGCTTTGCGGTTGGCTGCAAGATTCTTGTAAATGTTGATCCAGTTTGTTTTCCACCGGTGGATGCCGAACACCATCCGAAGGCCAAATTGGTCGACGTCTTCGAATACAGTGTCCACCCAGGTTTTTACTTGCCCCCCCCTTCCCTTGTCGGCGGCGCCAGCCAGGATATGGTATCGGAGCCAAGACAATACTCGTAAAAGTGTCGTCGGGTCTGCGGAGAAAATGGACTATCCACTGCAGTCGGCGGCGTTGTAAGACGGATAATGTGGCATCGATTTCTGATATCTGAGTTTGACTCTGTCCCGCCCGTTTACTTTCAGGATGAATCGAAGACACCAGTGATCGAATACCTCCAATCGTCGGATGTCCTCAGCTCTCAGCGGCCAGGTTTCGCAGAACTGGTCGAACTGCTATGGCAAATCCCCTGAGCTTGGTTTCAAGACTGATCTCGTTCCGGCACCACAGGGTGGTTCAAAGCTGCAGAAACGCCTTTCGGGCCGTGTCGATGCGCCGCTTCACATAATATTTGGCCTGTCTATCGGGCAGAATGGTGAACCCGAGGTACTTGTAGTCCGATACTATTTCTATTGTTCGACCATCCAGTTGCAGAGGATGTTCCGCTTGATCAGGTTGAGTAGTAAACATCTTAATTTTGTCAGGGTTAACCTCAAGGCCGATCTCCGGGACAGACCTTTCGATACGGTTGAGAGCTGTTTGCAAGGCGGTTAGGTCCTCTCCAAGCACTATCACGTCATCGGCGAATTCAAGGTCAGTAACCCAGCAATCCGCAGAAACTTGGACATCTTTTCAAGGTCAGTAACCCAGCAATCCGCAGAAACTTGGACATCTTGGTAACCCTCCATTGCCGGACGCAGAATCCAAATATCAGCGAAGTTGAACAACACTGGAGATAGCGGGCATCCTTGCCTTACTCTTGACCTCAGATCAAAGGGATAAGACTCTTCACCGTAGGCACGGATACGGGCTTTGGTTTGGGTGTAATACGATCTCATGATATTGACCAACTTTACAGGGACACCATCTGCAAGCATTATTTTCCACAGTGACTCGCGGTCGACTGGATTTAATACGGCGAGAAAGTTGAAGAAGCATGTAGCGGTGGGGCACTGAAACTTGTATTAGTTCCAGAATTCACTTTAGGATTAAAATCTGATCGACATATCCTTTGTCGGGTTGGAAGCCTCTTTGGTTTGGCCGCGTACGTGCATGCCTCACTGTAGCGAATCGATTAAGCACAAGCTGAGCAAACGCTTTTGCAGCCACATCCAGCAGACTGATGCCCCGATAATTCTCGCATAGTATCTTGTCGCCCTTCTTGGGGAATGTAAGCAAAATCGAGGTGTTCCGATCAGGTGGACACGTTTCGGTCTCCTAAATAGAGCGAGAGAGTGAAGCAGTTTGATGACCCTCGGAGGGCATTTCTTATATATTTCTGCCGGGATTCCGTCTTCACCAGGGGCCTTGCAAGACTTCAAGCGACCGATCACTGCGCCTATTTCTTCTATTGCCGAGGGATCACAGTCGACCTCGTATGGAGACACCATATCGGGATGAATATCCGCCGAATTGCCCAGTGGATGACTGAGAAGTAGACTAAAATGTTCTACCCATCTGGTTATTCTACCATCGATATCGGAGATCAGTACCCCGGTGGAGTCGCGCAGAACGGGTTTCTAGGAGCATTCGCTCGTGCATCCTCCTTTGTAGCATAGATTCCGCCAGGATCGTTGATAGCCTGAGACCGCTTCTTCACCTGGGTCCTTCAGCTTGGTTTAAGTCACCGTCGCCTCCGGTGAAGCAACTTCACTTTAAACGGTGCACACTCTCGAGTGTAGTCAGGCTAAACTTCCGGTACCTTTAGGGGAGCAATATACTTCCCCTTGACTAATCGGTTGTTCTTCCTGGTAATTATCGGGATATTGAGAAACACGGAATATCATAGGCCGGATAGCTTTTACAGGTCGTGGGAGAACGCCTCCATCTCTAAAAAAGTATTAAAAAACGAGAACATGATGGGTAGCGAGGTAAATTCACAG